CGCCATGTTTTGAATAGTCATGTGTCTAATTTGCAAGACAGATGACAGGAAGAAATAGATATGAGTTTCGGTCCATTAAGATATGAGTTTCTTCTCCATGTTTCGGTCCATTAAGTCGTATTATAAGTCACAGAACATTCAGCAAAGAGCATTTTTTGTGTTTCTGAAATGCATTAGTGAAAGAAGATCCATCACTAAGTTAAAACATGCTGGCCTCAACGTGTCGTTCCTTGATAATCCGATTTTTCGGGCAGCAATTAAAACTCTGCTCGGCTGGGCTTCTTCATATGCGTTCGTTTTTGGGTTTGGATTCGAGTTGCGGAAATCATAATATTGGATTTTTTTATCTAAGTAAGATATCGCCTTCAGGATTGCTGACTTTCCCTTAGTGTGAGGTTTCATGCAGAGTATAAAAACCCATTGCCTTCCCCTCCTCCCGTCTCATAAACTTCGCCCCTGTTTCCAGTTTCTACCTCTATCCAGGGTCTCAGTTCCTCTTCAGTCTTTCCTGCCCTTCTACACAGGAAATGATCCAAACCATCACCTCTAACCCTAACCCCGTTCTTCCCTCTTCCGATTCTGCCCTCTACTCTACATCCCCCTCCCGGTCCCCTCTTTTCCTCATCCCCCTCGTCCTCCGTGCCCTCCCAGCCACTTCAACTCGTCCCCTAACTTAGCCGAGCCGAGTTTCAATGATTGCCATTTTTGCTACTATAGTTCTGCTAGGCAATTTGCATTCACTTTTTTGACCAGAACCCTTCTTCCGTTCAAAAGCGGAAGAATAGCATGCGATGCTTTTGACCGCTTATCAATTGCCCTGCAGTCTATCACGGTTTATTGACATAGGCCCCCAAGAAGCATTTAAAAATTGCCCAATTGTTGCGACAAAAGATAGAGAGCGTAACAAACAGTGCCTGTATGCAGCACGTACAAATTTGGAATGTTCGATATCGGTATTTTTTTTTTTTTTGGTGTCTCTGTTGTGTGCCTGTCCTTGAGTTGGAGGATGACTGGGACAGCGATGAGTTCTTCCGCCTTAATTGAGCTGTCTTTTTTGAGTGGGAATATTCGCGATTGGTAAGATTTTAAAACGATTCGCATTGCTACTTTGCCCTCATTTTACCTACTTCCCAGTTGTTGCTTTATCCAAGAAGAGGTTGGGGACTTTGAGAGCAAAATGCTTTAATTTTTCTTTATATATGTAATAAAAATGCGGCGCTTTTGATTAAGAGGAAATAGTACTAATATTAATAGTATTTTAGCCCTAATAATAGTGTTAGAATAGGATCAGTGCACTAATTTACAGTACTTGTGGAAAACAGGTCATATGGAGAGGCTGGCTTTTAGTAAAATCGACAAAATTCTTCAAAAAACTGAGCAAGAATAAACGTCCCTCGGCAAATCGTTTCGTAGTTTTGCAACTTGAAAATAGCTATAATATCCTAGATCAAGTTTTAATGCATCCGCAGAGTCTTAGGAAGCTGTAATTTTACGCATATCCATTATTCATTCGAGTAGCATCATTACTTACTGGCGCCAATGGCTTAACTACAATATGACCGAAACGTCTTAACTCTTTCGTACTTAACTCTTCTAGACTAACTGTATTTCTACATCCATCCATATATGGTTCGCTCCACACCTACCCTATCGAAGTTCATAATATTACTTGCATGCTATAGTCAGCTCAACGTGGCATAATACAGCGTGGTATTTTTATGAGTGAGATGCACTGAGAAATGAGTTGCGCAACCCTGTAGATTGTCACCAAAGCGAATAGAAACACAAAAATCGACAAAAACCGAACGAATTGGTTGATAATTCCTGAAAGAGCTGACGTGAAGTAGAGGAAAAGCCTACTGGTAAGATTTATGTAACTAAATTTTGACGGGATTTTAAATTTTTCAGGCTCTGGTTGCATTTCATCTTGCTAGATTTCTTAATCTCACTCTCCCAGCCAGCTTTTACCTCATTCTGCGCTCATACAGTAGTTTGAATTTACAGTATAGGGTTTGATTACGGTAATTACAGTATTCTGATTACAGTTTAACTACAGTAGAGAGT